CCAAGAACTCAAAGACACTTACAGGTTTTCGAAACACAGAACAGTATTTCGAAAACCTGTGTGTATTATTGTGTGTGGTGTGGAGTGTGTTGAGTGTGTGTGGTGTGCTTATTGTGTATGGGGTGAAGTGTGTTTATTGTGTTGAGTGTGTGTTGTGTGTTTATTGTGTGTGGTGAGGGGTGTGTTGAGTGTATGTGGTGTGCTTATTGTGTGTGGGGTGAGGTGTGTTTATTGTGTGTGGTGTGGGGTATGTTGAGTGTGTGTGTGTGTGTGCTTATTGTGTGTGGGGTGAGGTCTGTTTATTTTGTGTGGTGTGTTGAGTGTGTGTTGTGTGTTTATTGTGTGTGGTGTGTTGAGTGTGTGCTGGGTGTTTATTGTGTGTGGTGTGGGGTGTGTTGAGTGTGTGGTGTGCTCATTGTGGGTTGGGTGAGGTGTGTTAATTGTGTGTGGTGTGTTGAGTGTTTATTGTGTGTGCTGTGTTGAGCTTGTGTTGGGGGTTTATTGTGTGTGATGTGTGGTGTGCTTATTGTGTGTGGGGTCAGGTGTACTTATTGTGTGTGGTGTGTTTAGTGTGTGTTCTGTGTTTATTGTGTGGGGTGTGTTGAGTGTGTGTGGTGTGCTTATTGTGTGTGGGGTGAAGTGTGTTTATTGTGTGTGGTGTGTGTTGTGTGTTTATTGTGTGTGGTTTGGGGTGTGTTGAGTGTGTGGTGTGCTTATTGTGTGTGGGGTGAGGTGTGTTTATTGTGTGTGGTGTGGGGTGTGTTGAATGTGTGTTGTGTGTTTATTTTCCTTAAATTCTTTGCCACCTTAATTTTATTGCAATGTTATTTGAAGTTCCACCTTAAATTCTTTGCCATCTTAATTTTAGTGCTACCTTAAAGAGAGTTCCACCAAATTTTGTGCTTCCTTTAACTTAGTGCTATGTTAATTGAAGTTCCACCTTAAATTGAGTGCTAACATAAATGCAGTTCCACCTTAATTTCAGTGTCAGTGTAAACTCAGTGCTACCTTAAAAGAAGTTCCACCTTAAAATTCAGTGCTACCAAAGTGCAATTCCACCTTAAAAGCAGTTCCACCTTAAAAAAATCATTATGTGTGCTGACACTGCTGAGCATTAGGCTGTGAGCATGTGAGACATTGGGCTCCGTGTGTGAGTTTGTAAGTGTTTTGTGAGAGAGGGGCCCATTGTGACATCACGTGTGGCATGCTGCCAACATTCCGCCCATTCACTCTCTATGGGACAAAAAGTCCGCAAAATTCCATTGCTACATGGAATCTGTGCATCCAATCAAAAAGCTGTATACAAACATGCATCACACAATCAGGCCGGACAATCTGCAGTTGGAACGGTGTTGATATCTCGAAAACGGCGGGACGAGTAACGCAGCAAAGAACTGGCAGAAAAATAAGAATAAAATAGAAGAAGAAGAATATAAAGCAGTGTGTGTGTGGTGCATTGAGTGTGTGGAGTTGTTTTTATTGTGTGTGGTGTGTTGAGTGTGTGTTGTGTGTGGTGTGTTGAGTTTGTGTTGTGTGTTTATAGAGTGGTGTGGGGTGTGTTGAGTGTGTGTGTTGCGTTTATTGTGTGTGTTGTGGGTTGCGTAGAGTGTGTGTTGTGTGTTTGTGTGATGTGGGGTGTGTTGAGTGTGTGATGTGGGTTTATTTTGTGTGGTGTTGGGTGTGTTAAGTGTGTGCTGTGTGTTAATTGTGTGGGGTGTGTGTAGTGGGTGTGTTGAGTGTGTGTGGTGTGGGAGATGTGTGTGGTGTGGGGGGTGTTGAGTGTTTGTGGTTTGTTTATTGTGTGTGGTGTTGGTTGTGTTAAGTGTGTGTGATATGGGGTATGTTGAATGTGCTGTGTGTTAACTGTGTGTGTTGTGTTGAGTGTGTGTGGGTGTGTTGAGTGTGTATGGTATGGGTGTGTTGAGTTTGTGCTGTGTTTTAATTGTTTGTGGTGTAGGGTGTGTTGAGTGTGTGTGGTGTGGGGAGTGCTGAGTGTGTGGTGTGGTGTGTTGAGTGTGTGCTGTGTGTTAATTGTGTTGGGTGTGTTTATTGAGTGGAGTGTTTGACTGGCTAAATGATGTGTTATGTACTATAGCACGTATGTGTGCTGTTTGGTTGTCTCTCTTTGTTGCAGTCTGCCCGAACATCTATTAGTGGATTTCGTTCTACTCAGGTGACCAATCAGGAGAAACAACATCAGTGGAGGGGGAGGAGCTTCATCTTTAAGAACCTGCAGAGACAAGATAGCAGAAGGGCTGCCATGCCATTCAGAAGCCCTCAGACACACTGTTAGAATTAATGCTTGCTTCTATCTTTTTGCACATATTTATACATTTGCTATATAGTCTGCTCCTGCTGTATTGTTTGTAAAAGGGATACTTGAAAACATATTTTATTTATGTTCAGTTTGAGCATGCCTGTACACAAACAGTACATAGGAAGCCCTTTGTTAAACACACTAGGTAAAAGGGCAAGTTATGTTTTGTTTACTTTTTAGTTGCAGTAGCTATCTTGTTTTTATTTAGGTTAGGGTTAGGTAGATGGTTTGGTTTTCTTTGTGTTGTTGGCACCTTCCGTGGCCGTTTTCCATAGGGAAGCACCAACCAGATTTTTTCTGTTTTTATGGTTTCTAGAAAGGTTGACATTGAAACTTTCTGTGCTTGTTAATGTTGAACTGTCTACCTTGTATATGTCATAGAATATAGGGGATGAATTTCCAGCTTAAAGTCTCATGTTTAAATCATGTCTCTTCTCCCACCACATCGTCCACACCTGCCTCATGTTTGCAACCTCTATCTCCTAGACTTAAGGGAGAGTCATAACAAATGAACATCATGGACAAACATGTTTCAACTACACTAATAATTTGAACGAGTACTTCGAAGGAGAGAAATAAAGAACAGCAAAAAACAAAGAGCAAAAGAACAAAAATATTTTGGTTACAAATTTCATAACAGGTCATTAAGAACACAATATTACCTGGAGCCCTACAATCTTACAACATGAGGTACCCAAGGTTCCCACTATAAAAGTCTACAAAATAAATGATTGAAAAACAAAGAGAATAAGAATTTCTAATGTTACTAAAAGCTAAAGTAATGACAGAATGGGAGACGAAGTTGACTCAACTAAAGTTGTTACTGTTACCAAACCACCCCTCTAAAAAAAATAAAAAAACACTGATAATGATTTTGAACACCTGTATGGAATCTCAAAGTTATTTAACTCGAAATAATACTCTGAACCAGGTAGTTGTGATGAGCAAGAAACATTCAATAGAGGTTATTTAACAATGATATGAGTTCCTTTGAAAACATGTTTATCATTGAGTTGGGACACAGGAATTCCTGACCTGGACACTGGGGGCACTGTTGGTCAATGGCAGAAACAGAGTTTTTCTTGCAAATTATAATTTGGCTCCTCAAAGACACACAGTTATTGTTTTGGCAATTTCTGTCATTCTCACCAAAATTTTACAGTTGGTGGCAGTTATGAATCAGTGTTTACTTTGGAACTTTAAACTGGCAAAATCTTTTCCATCCTTGGTGTTTCTGCTTGATAAAGAGAAATCTTTTTGCATTCCTGCTGGATTTATGGCTGGGACAGTTATCCCTTGAGGGAAGGAGAGGGGATATTTGCAGAGAAGTGTTGCAAGAGACCCTTGTAAATGCCAATGGAAATGGTTGTGCATGTCACCTTTATCCCACCTGAAGGTCATTTTGCAGATCCTCTGCAATCTTAAAACCAACTAGTTTTTAGAGATAATTTGGGGTCCTCTGTATTCACTACACCAATCTTGAGTTGTTTTTGCTGTATGTTTAGGATCAATATCTTGTTGTAATATTTATCTTTTCCCATTCTTGGCCAATGAGATTGCATTCTATTATAATATTCCCTGGTACATCACTCCATTCATGTTTTCTTTAATGAAGAGCAATACTCCAGTAGTGACTGCACCATTTGCAGAGAGGCAGCCCCATATCATGATGCATCCACTTTCATGCTTCACTGTGGGTGGTCTTGGGATCATGCGTGCAAGCCTTCTATCTCAAAATATGATGAACTAATCTTGTCAAAGCATTATATTTTTGTTTAGTCTGACCAGCCTACATGGTTCCAGAATAGTTCAGATTTGTGTTACATGCTTGTTTGCTAATGTTACATGTAGCTAATGTAGATTTCTGAGCTGCTTTGTCAGCACAGAAGGAATTTGCTGTGAAGTTCATTGCTTACTGTTCTCTGTATAATTGTTGTTTCTGCTGCTTTCAGCTCAGTCAATTTTTTTCAGGTGACTGCTGGATTCTCACTTAGCTGTCATATCATTAAAGAGAAATCTTATAATTTTTTTAAAAATATATCTTTGTTTAAGCTTTTGAAAACATAAAGTACAAAAGAAATTAGGTGTGTCAATTTGAGGTGAATACATACACTGGAATTATATTAATTAACAAAAGCAAATGATTCAATACTTGGATAAAGAAGGGAGAAATGAAAGGAAAACAAGTGAAGAAATAGATTTCAAACATGGAGTTCAAAAACTGTTATAAGTTTAAGTATCAGAGAAAATAGGACTCCTAACAACCACCTGGAAGACCTAGTAGACCACCAAACTGTTCCCATCAGATAAACAGCACTTAAAGCTTTCATCTTTGAGAGAGAGGAGAAAATCAAGCTGCTTCAGATCTGAAAACATCCACAGGTGTTTCTGTCCATCCTTCCATTGTGAGAAGACGACTCAGCGCTATGGGTCTGAAAGGATGTGTAGCTGTTCAAGAAGCCCTTACTAATATATTTCTATTTGTTGATGAATTTACTAATTGGATTTATGTTTTATTATTTTTAGTAAATGTGTATTAAATTCTGCTGAAGTGTGTTCTCTGTAGAGAATGTATTAGCTGATTTTTACACAGAAATCTAATAAAACATTATGTAATTTGAACAGGGGTGCTCTTTTTGTTTTTTGGACTGGAATGTACAGAGACAGTAAATCAGTAACTCACTGTAGTTTCTCCAGTTTACAGTGTGGATCCCTCAGTAGATCAGAGAGCTCCTTCATTGCTGAATCTCCTGGATTACTCCAGTTCAGATTCAGCTCTCTCAGATGTGAGGGGTTTAATTTCAGAGCTTTCACCAGATCAGCACAGCCTTCATCTGTAATACTGCAGTCAGACAGCCTGCAGAGAGTAGAAGAAAAACTCCTCAAACTTGCTCTCACAGTATGAATCACTTCAAAACTTGTTCTATGTTTCACTTCCTGCAGTGTGTTTGCACTGATATCAAATAAGTAAATAAAAATTGCCCCCCCCACCCACTCTTATACTTGATCTTTATTTGACTCATCAAATCTTGAAACCCTGAAGTTTAACAGTGTGAACCCAAACATTGATCATAGTGGAAATTTGTGACTTAGTTTTAAACAGATCTCTAGTTCTCAAGCGCATAAAGCTCTTAAAGAAATAAATCAGCAGGACCTGATACTTTAGATCCATTGCTTTTAAAACTAGTTGCTGATGTTATTGCAGCACCTTTAGCTTATATAGCTTATATTTTTAATCTTTCCTTAGCTATAAATGAAACTCCATTGATCTGAAAATCTGCTAGCGCTGTCGCCTCACAGTAAGAAGGGCATGAGTTTGATTCCTTGGCTGGGTGACCAGGGTCCTTTCTGTGTGGAGTTTGCATGTTCTCCCCATGTCTGAGTGGGTTTCCACATAATTCCTCTGGGTGCTCTGGTTTCCTCCCACAGTCCAAAGACATGCAGTCAGGCCAACTGGACTCGCTAAATTCCCCCTAGGTGTGAGTGTGTGTGTGAATGTATATGTTTGTTTGTCTGTCTGCCTTGCGATGGACTGGCAACCAGTCCAGGGTGTATTCTGCTTTTTCTGCCCAATGACCGCTGGGATAGGCTCCAGCTCCCCCAGCGACCCAGAATGATGATCACATTAGAAAATGTATGTATGTATGTATGTTTGTGTACGTGCAAATCTGCTTTTGTTGTTTCACTATAAAAAGGAGGAGATCCTACAATGTTGAATAATTATAGAACTGTTTCTAAACTTTCAGTGTGAGTTAAAAGATCTTTTACTGGCTGTATGATAGACCCTTTCAACTCTCCCTCTCCTTAGCATTAAGCAGACTTACAATAAGTAAAACAAACAACCAAAAACACATAGAGTAACAACAGCTAGTTTAGCAGGTTTGAGAATAACTACTTGAACGTTCTAGTCTAGTCTGACAATACTTTCTTGTCTTATCCTCAAATCTCCTTACAACTGAACTGAACTCACTGTGTGTTTTGGTTTTGTCAGGCCTCAGATCAAGCCCTTTTGAGGTGGAGCCAGAGTGCTGATTTGTTTTTCTTGCCTCTGTTCTGATTTAATTTTGTACATGATACACAGGTTTTACAATTTATTCCTCAGAAAGAATTATTATTATTATTATTATTTTACTTTTTTTTTGCTTCAAACTAAATCAATGTTGCTTGGCTGGCTAAATGATGGATTTCATGGAAAAACATGTTTATACTACACCAATAATTTGAACCACTATTTCCAAACAGAGAAATAAAGAGAAAGCAATTCCCATTTCCTGGCCAATAAGATTTTTCATAATATGCCCTGATACATCACTCTATTCATGTTTTCGTCGATGAGGTGCAAAGCCAGAGTACCATATGCACCATTTGCAGAGAGGTCGACCCAGATCATGATATGTCCACCTTTGTACTTCACTGTGTGGTCTTGGGATCATACACACAACCCTTCTTTCTCTAAACATGACAAACTAAAGTATTGACAAAGGGTTCTATTTTTGTTTAGTATGACCAGAGAACCACAATAGTTAAGATTTGTGTAAATGTTTGTTTGCTAATGTTATTTTTAAGCACAGGAGGAATTTGCTGTGAAGTTCATTGCTTACTGTTCTCTGTGTAATTGTTGTTTCTGCTGCTTTCAGCTCAGTCTGCAATTTTTTTTCAAGTGACTGCTGGATTCTCCCTTACATTATTTATGACGTATTATTTTTAAATATATCTTTGTTTATGATTTTTGAAACATACAAAATAATTGCTTAATTTATTGCTTACTCTTTTCTGTGTAATTCTTGTTTCTGCTGCTTTCAGCTCAGTCCATAATTTTTTCAAGTGACTGCTAGATTTTCACTTGCCTACCTTATGATTAGTGTCCTGCATCCCTCCAGTCCGAATCACTCAGGGACTCCATTTCTCAGAACCCTCTAGGAGATCACATGGCTATAGCAATCCAACAATCATCATTCTAAATCACATGAATACTGATTTGTTCCACCTGCTCTGTTTGTCATGTGACTAGTTAAGTTAAGTGTGTAAGCCCAGGCTTTAGATTAGATTCTTTGCAAGGTATTGCTTCTCCTTGTAGAGCTACTGAGCGTTTCCTGTTTGCTATTGTTTGACTTTTATTCTGTTTGACCTGCTTCTGGAATTTCTGACTGTGCCTTTGTGCATTTGTCCTATTTGGATCTGGTTGCCTTTGTTATGCTTGTAATTTTTTTGTCTTTTGCTCTATTGTATTTGACCTATGCCTTTTCACTGACTACAATTCTTGTCAACCCTTGTTGTAAAGCCTCATTTCTGTTTTTTACGGCTGGTTCTGGCACATTACAATTAGAGAGAAATCTTGTATTATTTTTAAATATATCTTTGTTTAAGCTTTTGAAAACTAAATAAATTATACGTGTAAATTTGAAGTTGATACATACACTGGAAATATATTAATTAACCAAAGCATAGGGGTCTATATTTGTATCAAGCAGGGAGAAATGAAAGCAAGTGAAGAAATATATTTTAAAATTAGAGTGCAAAAACTGATTAAAACACATAAAAATATCACTCCTAACAACCACCTAGACAATCTGGTAGACACCAAAACTGTCCCCTTCAGATAAACAGCACTTAAAGCTTTTGTCTTTTAGAGAGAGGAAAAAATTAAACTACTAGAGATGTGAAAAACATCCATGGGTTTTTCTGTCCATCCTTCCACTGTGAGAAGATGACTCAGTGCTATGGGTCTGAAAGGATGTGTAGCTATCAAGAAGCCCTCACTGATATATGTTTACCTAATTGCAAAAGCAATTTTTTTCAGAGCTATCAAAAACATCTCACATTGGTCTGGACTGGAATGTATGGAGACAGTAAATCAGTAACTCACTGTAGTTTCTCCAGTTTACATTGTGGATCCTTTAGTAGATCAGAGAGCTCCTTCACTCCTGACTCTCCTGGATTATTGTAGCTCAGCTCAAGCTCCCTCAGATGTGAGGGGTTTGATTTCAGAGCTTTAACCAGATCATTGCAGCCTTCATCTGTAATACCACAGGAAGACAGCCTGCAGAGGAAAGATGAAAAACTCTTTAAAAGACTTTCTCACAGTATGAATCAGTTCCAAACTTGTTGTGTGTTTTACTTCCTGATATGTGCATTTGAACTGATATGAAACAAGTAGAAAATACTTAAAATTGCATCACATTGCATTACATTTCTAAATTTTTAATGTGAGTTAAAAGATCTCTCGCTGGCCATATGATAGACCCCTTTAACTCTTCCTCAGCTTAGAATGGAGCAGGCTTACAATGAGCAAGAAAACAAACAAAACCAAACAAAATAAGAGTAGAGTAACAAAACATAATTTAGCAGATGTGAGAATAATTGTTCAAACTTTCTACTTGAGTCTGGCACTTCTTTCTTCTGGAGAGAAATGGAATCTCAACCAATGTTATTTAACTTGAAATAATAATCTCATTGGAAACCAGACAGATGTGATGACCAACAAACTTTCAATAGTGCTTATTTAACAATGACATGAGTTCCTTTGAAAACATGTTTATTACCAAGGTGGGGCACAACAGTTTCTGACATGGAGGCATTGTTGGTCAATGGCAGAAACAGAGTTTTCCTTGCAAATTATAATTTGGCTCCTCAAAGACACAGTTACTGTTTTTGGCAATTATTGTCCTTCTCACCAAAACTTTACAGTTGGTGACAGTTATGAATCATTGTTTATTTTGGAAGTTTATTATTTTGGAAGTTCATTATTTTGGCAGAATCTTCTCCAACCATGAGAAATCTTTTTTGCATTCCTGCTGGATTTATGGCTGGGAATGTTATCTCTAGAGGGAAAGACAAGAGGTTTTTGCAGAGGAGGGTTGCAAAAGACCCTGATAATTGCCAATGGAAATTATTGTTGATGTCACCTTTATCCCACCTGACAATCATTTCCCAGACCCTTTGAAGCCAAAAGGCATCGGCACTAAACGTGGTGGGGGTTTTTACAAATAAGCAGTCCTTGGAGATAATTTGGGGTCCTCTGTCTTCACTACACCAGACTTAAGTTTTCTTGCTGAAATGTTTTTCTCCCATTTCTTGGCCAAAAAGATTACATTCTCTTATGAGATGCCCTGATAAATCACTCAATTTAGTCAACACTTGGATAAATAAGAGGGAAATGAAAGGAAAAGAAGTGAAGAAACATTTTTTGTAACTGGAGTTCAAAAACTGATTAAAAGCTACAGAGAAAATGAGACTCTTGAAAATCAACTGGTGGACACCAAAACTATCCCCATCAGATAAGCAGCACTTAAAACTTTCATCTTTGAGAGAGAGGAGAAAATCAAGCTGCTTCAGATCTGAAATCCACAGGTGTTTCTGTCCATCCTTCCACTGTGAAAAGACAACTCAGCGCTATGGGTCAGTAACTCACTGTAGTTTCTCCAGTTTACAGTGTGGATCTCTCAGTAGATCAGAGAGCTCCTTCGCTGCTGAAATTCCTGGTTTATTGCAGCTCAGATCAAGCTCTCTCAGGTGTGAGGGGTTTGATTTCAGAGCTTTCACCAGGTCAGCGCAGCCTTCATTGGTAATACTGCAATCAGATAGCCTGCAGAGACAAGAACAAGTCCTCACACTTACAGCTCAACACAAACAGACTTTAATTTCACAGTATGAATCAGTTCCAAACTTGTTCTGTGTTTCACCTCTTGCTGTGTGTGTTTGCACTGATATCAAATAAGTAAAACATACATAAAATTGCCCCCCCATACACACACATTTATACTTGATCTTTATTTGACTCATCAAATCTTGAAACCCTTACATTTAACGGTGTGAATCCTAACAGTGATCATACTACAAATTTGTGACTTAGTTTTACTTAGTCTTAGCTACACATGAAATTCCATTGATTTGGAAATCTGCTTTTGTTGTTTAGCTATAAAAAGTAGGAGATTCTACAATTTTGAATAATTATAGAGCCAATTCTAAACTTTTGGTTTGATTTAAAAGATCGCTTGCTGGCCATATAATAGACCCCTTTAACTCTTCCTCAGCTTAGCATGGAGCAGACATATGATGAGTAAAAACAACAAACAAAAACAAGCAAAACAAGCGGGTAGACTAACAACACTTAGTTTAGCAGATGTTAGAATAAATGTTCAAACGTTCTAGTCCGGCACTTCTTTCTTCTATCTTCTTCTGAAATCTCCTTACAACTGAACTGAACTCAAAGTGTGCTTCGGTTTTGTCAGACCTTAGACCAACTGTTTTTTAGGTGGAACCACAGTGCTGATTTGTTCTTCTTGCATCTGTCTGACTAAATATTCATTTTCCTCTGTTCTGATTGGAAAATTTAACTTGGTAAGTGATATGTGGGTTTTATGATTCATTCCCTAGAAAGAAATTCTTTATTTCTTTACTTCAAAATAAATCTATGTTGCTTGACTGGCTAAATGATAGATATCATAGAGAAATATCATTCAACTACACTAACAATGTAAACCACTATTATAAAGCAGAGAAAAAAAGAAAGAGCAACAACAACAACAAAAAAATATTCAGTGACACATTTGATAATAGAGCATTAAGAACACAATTTTACCTGAAGTCTTGTTTGCATAGGACAGAGACAAAATTATACAATCATATACTCATATAGGAATTTAAATAATGACTACACAATAAATGATTAAAAAACAAAGAGAATAAGAATTTCTAATGTAACTCAAGGGCTACATGAATGGGAGACGAAGTTGACTTAGTTATAAAGTTAATACTGTTACCAAACCACCCCTCTAAAAAATAAGTAAAAAGAAACTAATAATTATTTTGAACATCTGTATGGAATCTCAATCAAAGTTATTTAACTCGAAATAAAACTCTGAACCAGATAGCTGTGATGACCAACAAACTTTCAATAGTGCTTATTTAAAAAGAATATGAGTTCCTTTGAAAACATGTTTATCACTGAGCTGGGATACAACAGTTCCCAACCTGGACACTGGGGGCACTGTTGGTCAATGGGAGAAACAGAGATTTCTTGCAAATTTTAACTTGGCTCCTCAAAGACACACAGTTACCTGTTTTTGGCAATTTCTGTCATTCTCAGCAAAACTTTGCAGTTGGTGACGGTTATGAATTAGTGTTTATTTTGGAAGTTCGGTATCTTTAAACTGGCAAAATGTTTTTCATCATTGGTGTTTCTGCTTGATAAAGAGAAATCTTTTTGTATTCCTGCTGGATTTATGGCTGGGAATGTTATCTCTAGAGGTAAAGACAGGGGGTTTTAGCAGAGGAGGGTTGCAATGAGACCCTCCTAAATGACAATGGAAATGGCTGTGCATGTCGCCTTAATCCCACCTGACAGTCATTTCCCAGACCCTCTGGAGCCAAAAGAAATCAGCACTGGGGTTTTTAAAACTAGCTAGTTTTTAGAGATAATTTGGGGTCCTCTGTCTTCACTACACCAGTCTTGAGTTGTTTTTGCTGTATGTTTGGGATGTATGTTATGTTCAATATCTTGCTGAAATGTTTTTCTTTCATTTCTTGCCCAAAAAGATTACATTCTCTAATAATATGCCCTGATACATAATTCTTTTCATGTTTTTTTCAATGAGATGAAAAGCCAGAGTACAATTTGCAGAGAGGCGGCTCTGTATCATGCTGTGTCCACCTTCGTACTTCACTGTGAGGTCTTGGGATCATGCGCACAACCTCTCTTTCTCTAAACATGGCAAACTAAAGTATTGACAAAGAGTTCTATTTTTGTTTAGTATGACCAGAGAACATTATTCCACAATAGTTAAGATTTGTGTTAACGCTTGTTTGCTAATGTTACACACAGATTTCTGAGCTTCTTTTTCAGCACAAGAGGAATTTGCCATGCAGTTCATTGCTTGCTGTTCTCCGTGTAATGTTTTTTTTTTTTTACATGACTGCTGGATTCTCACTTGCCTTCCTTATGGCGTATTATTTTTAAATATATCTTTGTTTATGATTTTGAAAACATGCAATTTACAAAAGAAATTATATGTCTACATTTAGAGTGGATTCATCCAATGGAATTAAATTAAATAATAAAAACTAAGGGATCAATGCTTGGAGAAATAAGGGGGAAATGAAAGGAAAACAAGTGAAGAAACACTTTTTATAACAGGAGTTCAAAAGCTGATTAAAAGCTACAGATAAAATGGGATTCCTGAAAACCACCTGGTAGATACCACAATTGTCCCCATCAGAAAAACACTTAAAGCACTTAAATCTTTCATCTTTGAGAGAGAGGAGAAAACCACGCTGCTTCAGATCTGAAAGGATGTGTAGCTGTTCAAGAAGCCCTTACTAATATATACGTACCTAATTGCAAAATCAGCAACAAAGATGAAGAATAAATATAACATTTTAGTTCACAGTTTCTATTTGTTGATGAATTTAACTAATTAGATTAATGTTTTATTATTTTCAGTAAATGTGTATCAAAATGTGCCACAGTGTGTTTTCTGTAAATGATGTGTTCACTGATTTTTACATAGAAAATTTAACAAAACATAATGTAATTTGAACAGGAGTGCTCTTTTTTATGACAGAGCAATCAAAAACTTTTCACATTGGTCTGAACTGGAATGTACAGACACAGTAAATCAGCAACTCACTGTAGTTTCTGCAGTTTACAGTGTGGATCCTCCAGTAGATCAGAGAGCTCCTTCATTGCAGACCTTCCTGGATTATTGCGGCTCAGATTCAGCTCCCTCAGGTTTGAGGGATTTGATTTCAGAGCTTTCACCATGTCAGCACAGCCTTCAGCTTTAATACTGCAGTCAGACAGTCTGCAGAGAGAAGAAAACCTCCTTAATGTTTTATGCCCTGATACATCACTTTATTCATGTTTTCTTCAATGAGGTGCAAAGCCAGAGTACCATTTGCACAATTTGCAGAGAGGTGGCCCCGTATCATGATGTGTCCACACTCGTACTTCACTGTGTGGTTTTGGGATCATACACACAACCCTTCTTTCTCTAAACATGACAAACTAAAATATTGACAAAGAGTTCTATTTTTGTTTAGTATGACCAGAGAACCACAATAGTTAAGATTTGCTTGAATGCTTGTTTGCTAATGTTACATTCAGATTTCTGAGCTTCTTTTTCAGCACACGAGGAATTTGCTGTGAAGTTCATTGCTTACTGTTCTCCGTGTAATTGTTGTTTCTGCTGCTTTCAGCTCAGTCTACAATTTTTTTTCAAGTGACTGCTGGATTCTCACTTACATTCTTTATGATGTATTATTTTTAAATATATCTTTGTTTATGACTTTTAAAACATACAAAGTACAAAATAATTTAATTGTGTAAATTTGATGTGGATTAATTTTCTGAAAGTATATTAATTAACAAAAGCAAAGGGGTCAACACTTGGACATAGGAAGGGAGAATTGAAAGGAAAACAAGGAAAAACACTTTTTATAACGAGTTCACAAACTGATTAAAACTACAGACAAAACGGGACTCCTGAAAACCTCCTGGAAGACCTGGTGGACACCAAATCTGCCCCCATCAGATAAACAGCACTTAAAGCTTTCATCTTTCAGAGAGAGGAGAAAATCAAGCTGCTTCAGATCTGAAAACATCCACAGGTGTTTCTGTCCATCCTTCAACTGGGAGAAGACAACTCAGCGCTATGGGTCTGAAAGGATGTGTAGCTGTTCAAGCTTTTACTAATATATTCGTACCTAATTGTTGCAAAATATGCAACAAGGAACACGCATAAATATAAACTATTATTTCACAGTTTTTATTTGTTGCTGAATTTAACTAACTGGCATTATGTTTCATTATTTACAATAAATGTGTATTAAAATGCACCACAGTGTGTTCTCTCTAGAGGTGTTCACTGATTTTCACAAAGAAAATGAATAAAACTTATAATAATTTGAACAGGAGTGCTCTTTTTTTGGCAGAGCTATCAAAAACTTCTCACATTGGTCTGAACTGGAATGTACAGAGACAGTGTGTCAGTAACCTACTGTAGTTTCTCCAGTTTACAGTGTGGATCCCTCAGTAGATCAGAGAGCTCCTTCATTCCTGAATCTCTTGGTTTATTCCAGTTCAGATTCAGCTCTCTCAGGTGTGAGGGGTTTAATTTCAGAGCTTTCACCACATCAGCACAGCCTTCAGCTTTAATACTGCAGTCAGACAGCCTGCAGAGAGAGAAGAAAACCTCCTCACACTTACAGCTCAACACACACACACACACAGACTTTAATCTCACAGTATGAATCAGTTCCATGTCCTGTTTCACTTTCTGCTGTGGGTGTTTGCACTCATATCAAAGAAGTAGAAAATACATAAAATTGCCCCAGACACATATTTATACTTGATCTTTATTTGACTCATCAAATCTTGAAACCCTTAAGTTTAACAGTGTGAATCCTGACAGTGATCATAGTACAAATTTGCGACTTTAAACAGATCTCTAGTTTGGAATTGCATAAAGAAATAAATCAGCAGTACCTGATACTTTAGATTCACTGCTTTTTAAGCTAGTGGCTGATGTTATTGCAGCACCTTTAGCTTATACTACAGTGTTCAATAATTATAGAACCATTTCTAACCTTTCAGTGTGAGTTAAAAGATCTCTCACTGGCCATAAAATAGACCCCTTTATCTCTTCCTCAGCTTAGCACTGAGCAGGCTTATGATGAGTAAAAACAACAGACAAAAACAAGCAAAACAAGCAGGTAGACTAACAACACTTAGTTTAGCAGATGTCAGAATAAATGTCTGAACATTTTAGTCTAGTCTGGCACTTCTTTCTTCTATCTTCTTCTGAAATCTCCTTACAACTGAACTGAACTCAAAGTGTGCTTCAGTTTTGTCAGGCCTTAGACCAACTGCTTTTGAGGTGTTGCCAGAGTCCTGATTTGTTCTTCTTACATCTGTCTGACTAAATATTCACTTTCCTCTGTTCTGATTGGAAGATTTAACTTGGTAAGTGATATGTGGGTTTTATGATTCATTCCCTAGAAAGAAATTCTTTATTTCTTTACTTCAAACTAAATCTATGTTGCTTGACTGGCTAAATGATGTGTTACTATAGCACATATGTGTTTTGTGTGCTGTTTGGTTGTCTCTCTTTGTTGCCGTCTGCCCTAAGATCTATTAGTGGATTTTGTTCTACTCAGGTGACCAATCAGGAGAAACAACATCAGTTGAGGGGGAGGAGCTTCATCTTTAAGAACCTGCAGAGACAAGATGGCAGGAGGACTGCCATGCCATTCAGAAGCCCTCAGACACACTGTTAGAATTAATGCTTGCTTCTGTCTTTTTGCGCATATTTTAACATTGGCCTTATAGTCCAATAGAGTCTGGCTGCAGACAAGCTCTGTCAGACAGATACACTCTTAGTGATGTCACATGCACATGCATTCTCTGCCACAATGGCTGAAGCAGCCCAACAGCACGTTAAATTCTGGCTGCTTCTGCTCGGCGACATCATCACTTAATCCATTTTTCATCCATAACACACCTAGAGAATTACATTTGATGTACCTCCCAGTTGAAAAAAGTCATAGAACCTACTAGAAGTGTTTGTTGGTTCCTGGTGGTTTTCAGTAGTCGCTAATGGTATTCTGTGTTTTTCTGCTGGGTTTGTATCACAGTGTAAAGGATTCAGATTGTTTATTCAGGTGTTCTGGGACTGATTCCAGGTACATTTGCTCATTTCCTAATGGTCTCTAATGGCAACCATCAAGCCAATTCCCTTTAGGACGTAAAACCATCAGATTTTATTCCTAACGGTTCTAATCGTCTTCAGCATGGCTTTCATGAGTTTCAGCAGTAGACTGTTTGTTTTTTCTGGTGAATAAACCCGACATTCATGTCTTATCATCATGGTAGGTTTTATTTTGGAAGTCTCCAAATTTAACTAACTTATTATCAGTACGACATCGTTAATATATGTTGCGTGTAACTCTTATAGCTCAACAGTATGTGGTTCACTGTTTTTCCTCTTAAAACTCACAAAATCACTGTCGTGGCAGAGCGTGAACTGACATCATCAATGGGCTGGGCATGTCTGCAGCCAGACCCTTCTCTTATAGTCTGCGCCTGCTGCTATGTTTGTAAAACAGTTTGCTTAAAAATATTTTATAATATTTTGTACAACTAAGAGCTTAGATTAAGCTCCTTGTCAGCCCTGTTGGTAATGTTGTGAAGTCTTCTTGACAAGTTTAGCCTGGTTGGTAGCTTTGTACAATCTATGGCAGGCCAGTTTGGGCATGCCTGTACACAAACAGTACATAGGAAGCCCTTTGTTAAACACACTAGGTAAAAGGGCAAGTTATGTTTTGTTTACTTTTTAGTTGCAGTAGCTATCTTGTTTTTATTTAGGTTAGGGTTAGGTAGATGGTTTGGTTTTCTTTGTGTTGTTGGCACCTTCCGTGGCCGTTTTCCATAGGGAAGCACCAACCAGATTTTTTCTGTTTTTATGGTTTCTAGAAAGGTTGACATTGAAACTTTCTGTGCTTGTTAATGTTGAACTGTCTACCTTGTATATGTCATAGAATATAGGGGATGAATTTCCAGCTTAAAGTCTCATGTTTAAATCATGTCTCTTCTCCCACCACATCGTCCACACCTGCCTCATGTTTGCAACCTCTATCTCCTAGACTTAAGGGAGAGTCATAACAAATGAATATTATGGACAAACATGTTTCAACTACATTAATAATTAATAAAAGAAATGAGAGTCTCAATTGCATAGGACAGGGACAAAATTATACAATCATGCACTCATATAGGAATTTGAATAATGACAATCTTACAACATGAGGTACACGAGGTTCCCCTCCATAAAGGACTACACAATAAATGATTGAGACAAAGAGAATAAGAATTTCTAGCATTACTCAAGAGCTACATGAATCGGCTAAAATAATGAAAGCCCTAAAGTAATGACAGAATGGGAGATGAAGTTGACTCAGTTATAAACTAGTTACTGTTATCGTTCCACCCCTCTAAAAAAATAAAAAAAACACTGATAATTATTTTGAACATCTGTATGGAATCTCAATCAAAGTTATTTAACTCGAAATAAAACTCTGAACCAGATAGCTGTGATGACCAACAAACTTTCAATAGTGGTTATTCTTCTGAAAACATTCATTACTGAGGTGGGACACAACAGTTCCCGACATGGACACTGGAGGCACTGTTGGTCAGTGGCAGAAACAGAGATTTTCTTGCCAATTTTAACTTGGCTCCTGAAAGACACACAGTTACTGTTTTTTGGCAATTTCTGTCATTCTCACCAAAACTTTACAGTTGGTGACAGTTATGAATTAGTGTTTATTTTGGAAGTTCAGTAATCTCTAGAAGGAGAGAGAGGGGTTTTGCAGAGTAGGGTAGCAAAAGACCCTCATAATTGACAATGGAAATTATTGTTGATCATTTATTCTGCCTGACGGTTGTTTCCCAGACCATCTGGAGCCAAAAGGAATCAGCACTGAAGGTGGTGGGTTTTTTTTACAAATAACCAGTTTTTGGAGATAATTTGGGGTCTTCTATCTTCACTACTTCATTACAATTTTTTTCACTTGACTGCTGGATTCTCACTTACATTCCTTATGATGTGTTATTTTTAAATATATCTTTGTTTATGAACATACAAAGTATAAAAGAAATTATCTGTCTAAATTTGGATTCATCCACTGGAATTATATTAAATAATAAAAGCAAAGAGGTCAACGCTTAGATAAAGAAGGGAGAAATGAAAGGAAAACAAGTGAAGAAACTCTTTTTATAACAGGAGTTCAAAAACTGATTAAAAGCTAGAGATAAAATGGGACTCCTGAAAAACACCTGGTAGACACCAAAACTGTCCCCATCAGATAAACAGCACTTAAAGCTTTCATCTTTGAGAGGGAAGAGAAAATCAAGCTGCTTCAGATCTGAAAACATCCACAGGTGTTTCTGTCCATCCTTCCACTGTGAGAAGACGACTCAATGCTATAGGTCTGAAAGGATGTGTGGCTGTTCAAGAAGCCTTTACTAATATATACATACCTAATTGTTGCAAAATATGCAACAAGGAGCAAGCATAAGTATTAAAATGTTGGTCTGAACTGGAATGTACAGAGACAGTAGGTCAGTAACTCACCGTAGTTTCTCCAGTTTACAGTGTGGATCCTCCAGTAAATCAGAGAGCTCCTTCACTGCTGACCCTCCTGGATTATTGCCGCTCAGATCAAGCTCTCTCAGGTGTGAGGGGTTTGATTTCAGAGCTTTCACCACATCAGCACAGCCTTCAGCTTTAATACTGCAGTCGGACAGTCTGCAGAGAGTAGAAGTGTGTGTTTGCACTAATAGCAAATTAATAGAAAATAGAAATATTTGGGTCCCACTTTATATTAAGTGTCTCTAATAACTGTGTAGTTGCATGTAAATAACATATGCACCAACAATGTAACTATAGATGATTTAGTCACTGTTACAGCTGGATTACAGAAGTACAATTCTTGTAATTACACATGTATATTAACTTCAGTTTTGCCACATGCAATTGCACAAGTGTATCTTAATAGTTGTAACAGCCTATTCTCTCTAATGTAATTACACATGGGTAATAACAAGTGTAATTTCATTTGTAATCAGACTGGAACAGCAGTTTCGTTCTGGTCTTTTCCAGTGACCAGAGAAAGTATGTAATAACTTACATTAACACTTACACTAGATCGGCCATCTTTTCAAACATTTAGCTAATATTTATGTTTCTAGTGCTGTGACACTGTAACCAGTTTCAGCTTTAAACCATTCTGTAATGTGACAGTACTGCAGATGACCCCTTATCTTAAAATGTAACTCTTGTAACATTAATTAAATGTGTTGCATTTCCCCCAAAGCAATGTTCATATTACCACTCCATTATTACACAATACCTATATAACAACTACACAGGAGCTTATTTTAATGTGTAACTTTTATGTATGTACCATGGAATAACTGTGTTGTTACATGGTAACCTGATCACATCGCATGGATTAATTATATCTATAATTATACTGCACCTTTATAATAGCTACACAGGAACTGTCCACTTATTTTAAAGTGTAACTTTTACATAGTTACTGTGGAATAATTAATGATTAAAGACATTAGAAAGCAACCACTGCTTATCAAGTGTAAGATATGCAGTTCTGTATTAGCATATAACATACTAATCATTGTTTAGTACATATATCCTAAGAGTGCCATGAGAAACGTTCAACACATTCATTACTTAATCTGTGAAATAAATTTATTTAGACAAGATTAATAAAAATCTGTATTTTATGTTCAGTTCATAAAAAAGCTTATAGGAATTATGGATCTGTGTGTTGACATCAATCTACAATGCACTTTATCTAACAGCACATATTCTTTAAAATGTATCTACCCAGCTGGCAAATACAAAGCAGTAAACCTTAAACTTTATTTTAAATACCTTTTTAACCTAAGCTCTATCTGACACGTATGTGCTATAGAGTTCATTACTACTGTGGAATTAGACAATAATTTTGTCACAATACTCTAAATAGATACTCTAAATAAACTCTGACAATGAAAAATCACTTCAACTATTTTACTTAATTCAACATTTATATGCTTTTTAATATCATGAATCAGCTGTGCAAGCGAGCCTCTGCTGTGTGTCCTACCCAACCAATAATCCAACTGAATGAATAGGAAGAGATCTCTAAGAAGTTCTGATGTCTTGTTGCCTCTGTAACATGAAACCTGGTGCTTGGTAGTTTGCCAGGCCCGTTCAATGTGTGAGTAAGAGGATCAACAAAATGTTGGATTGGCAGTCTGCAAGCTCCTTTGACCTCTAGCATGCCAAAGATCCAACCTTTTCTTCTCTGCCATGTGGGTTGAAAAATGGCCATGGTTGCACTAAAATGACAGAGAAACAAGCATTATTGCTGGCTATTAAACAAAACATTTTAAGGGTGTATGGTTTAATGCTATTTCATCTTTTAACATATACACATCACTGTATATCATGCATATATGTTTACAGTCCTTAACTATGTTTTTGCATAACGTACATAATTATTCATGTATAGTACACCAATAACTGTTGACTGATATAGGAAACATTCTTCCAATCAGAGTATCGACAGATCATCTAGGTAGCGAAATAATTATAGGAATAGTGGTGCTTTGCATCAGTGTCCTTGTTTAAAAATTTACTCACTTTAAAACCTGATGAGTTAAGTCAACTCAAATGGTTTGTGGATTGCCTTAAATGGTTTAAGTTAAATAACTCAAATCACTGAACCATAAGCAATTCTCTGAACTGAGTATGAACAAAACATAAGTTTAATATTTCATACACTTAAGTAAATTGAGTAAACTGTACTAACTGTGTTCATTTTGTTGATCTTAAAATGATGAAGTGTTTTGGACTTTTTATAGTTTTTATAATTGTACTGACTATTACGTAATTGTAAATTAAATTAACTGCTAGGCTAAAGTAAGCTATTGTAACTGGTTCAATTTAAATTGCATGATCATGATAATAATATACACTGGTAAAATATTTTATCCAATGTAATATTCTTGATGATCTTGCCAAAAGCTGACAGCTATGTGCAGTGCAGAATCAGTTTCTGTAGCATTTAGCTACAACAGAACCATACTCAGCAAATACATGCTAACTCAGCAGCCACAATGCTGATTTATAATTAGCACAGCATGAGAAAAAATACAAGTTTTGAAACCATATCAACATCCAAGGAAAGGTAGGCTGGGGAGAATGACAATGCACAGATAGTAGGGTAAACAAGGTGAAAAGACATGCCCATTATGCAAATATAAGGTACCAAGAGCCAATAAGAATGAAGTGGGTTTTACTCAAGAAAGTTACATTAATCAAACATTTATCAAGTAAACCTAAGAAGTCTAAATTACATTGTAATAAGTTGATTCAACTCAAAGATCCTGTTTGAATGTCTGAAATCATCAAAATAAAGTTATGAGAGAGGTACGAGAAGCCTAAATCATTTAAATGTAAACATTTCTGCGGTCTGTCACATGAATCCACTGTGGACTGAATCCACAGAAACTCCAACAGCTCAACCACTGAATCAACTTATGTTTTTGCTAAAAAAAAAATTAGAACATATTCCGCTTGTGCTGAGGGCAACCGGCTCCTGATAGGCATCCAAACTATTTCATTTGCATTCATTACATCCATAACTTTTAATATAGTTAATTCTGAATAGGGTAAAACTAGGAATAATACATGGAGTAAACAGCATGTCATTCATAAACAGCATGTCATTCATTGTAAGTGTGCATATAGTTAGAAGAGATGAAAACAACACAGGCACACTAAATTTTCAACAATCTTTTATTTTGTATTACATTAATATTGATCACTTTATCATTTTGTGCAGAGAGATTTTTTAAAAGACTACATATACTGTATTATTTACAATGAAACTCCGAACAGCCAAAAATTACCTGGCTTTGCACTTTTACCTCCAAGGTGTAAGTGATAAAAAGCAGATTTGCCTGTCTGAAATACCGAAAATGCAAAGCTGTCTAATTCCATTCATTTACTGTAAAAAAATAAAACAAAAACAAAAACAAAAAAACAAAACAAAACAATCAAATTCAAAAAGTAATTAACTTGGCTGTTTTAAACGTTGAGTTAATTGTTAATTAATGGTATAATTTATTTTATTATGACCTTTTAACAATACAGTGTGTAGTATTTCAGGATCTACAGGGACTGCAGGAGTATTACTGCTTTATTAAAATGCCTTCAAGTCCAGTCACCATACTTGTTTAAGATTGTTTCTAATAGTCAAATGATTGTCCATAGAATATGGATGTGGGTTTTACAGAAAAATTTCAAAAATGCAGACATGATACCAATACACATTTTCCACAGTATGTGTTCTGCTCATATCAGATGTCTTTTAACAGAATAAGCTGCTTCCTTTTGTACTGTAAATAGTGCAGTGCATATTTATTTATTTGTTTATTTTTGCCACTGCTGGGGCTGTTTCAACTTATCAAACTTTTCTGGTCCAATTATCAAAAGCATAATATCATGATATGTAACTGTGTATCAGGAAAACATTTTCAAGTATCATGATTGTATTTTTGCCATATCGCCCACCCCTACTGTAAGACTGTAAAAACTTTTAATCTTTTTAACCATTTATGACATTTCAGAGCAATGTTTAGCTCTCACTGTTTAGTTTGGCAGGTGCAGGGATTAGCATTATGCTATTCAAGGAAATCTACTAATGCAATAAATAAAAATATTTCTGCATAGTGGTAAATTAATCTGACCATAATAGTTAGATCATGGTTTGGTATAGACCTCATTACTGTACATAATGACATACATGGTTGGCACAAGTTCATATTTTTCATTACTGTCTGGCTCACATTGTACATAAATTAAAAAGTCAGCCGATAGTAAACTAGGATCCAATCACTTTTAGTAATTTGTTGCTAATGTGTTAACTGTTGTTCGCTGTTGTCTGAAATAACAACTGCTGACTGTTTTGGTAATGAAAACAATGTTATTGTCTTGTTTTGTCAGAGCTTTTTTATTGACACCTTTCTGTTATGATAGACTAGACTTAATACTGACCTTTGGTGTGGACATAGATAACTTAGCCATTCTCCCCCAGAGCACAGCAGTCTCGGATCATTACTTAATTTCATATGAAATTCACTTTAGTGGTAATGTGCGTTCATCACCATGTTATCATGTTAAGCGGACAATAACTTCCTCCACAGCTGGTAGCTTTATTGGAATCTTCTTCCTCAATTAGCTTCTGTCAGCTGTCCATCTAAGCCCACCGAGTTAGATATTATGACCAAGCTCTTAGAGGATAATTTTCGATCTACTCTAGATAGTGTGGCCCCATTAAAAAGTAAAATAGTAAGGCAGAAAAAACTCGCCCCTTGGTATAATGACAACACTCGGGCTTTAAAACAGACTGCCAGACAACTAGAGCGAAAATGGCGCCTGACTAAGCTAGAAGTGTTCCAGTCTGCCTGAAAGGAGAGCCTCATAGACTATAGAAGAGCACTCAGCCTATCTCTCCTCTCTCATAGAAAACAATAAGAATAATTCTAGATTACTTTTCAGCACAATCTCTAAACTAACAGAGAACAAAACAGTTAGTGAACCCCAGAGACCATTAGCCTATAGCAGCAATGATTTTATGAACTTCTTTAGTGATAAAATTGAAAAAATTAGGCAGAAAATTCGGAATACACAGTTAAACTCTACAAACCTGCTTCCCCGTAATGCCAGCCTCAATC